GTTCCCTCCCATTTAATGTTATTCAGAGGTATTGTGAAACCGCACATTTTTCAGATCTGAGCATAGTAGAGCTGTTACTGGCCAGACCCTTCCCTTTCTTCCCCCATCTTAGAGAAGGGACTGTGTCTGGTGATCTTTAGCCCCCTGATCCTATTTTGGCTGACTTATTTAAAAGCCTTGTTGCTGGTGTGAGCTTTCATGTGCCAATTCCTTTAAAATTCTGGATTTCTCGGGTTCCTCATCCTTACTGAAAGCTGTGACAAAGTAATCAAGTAGTTTTCAGGACATACCTGGACAATTTTGTTGTTTTTAGCAGCAGCAGTACTGGGTGATCTCACTTCTTTGCTTGTAATTTATAGGTAACTTTTCATATCTAAGGGAAGAATTTGCCAAGAGCTATTTGATCTTTACACTTCTTGATCTCTAAGACTTATTTCTGTTCTGTACAATCATTTTTCCTTCCCTTGTAAGCTCTGCCTGACATCCTGCCTGAGGTTGTTTCCCAGCCAAAGAAAGCCCTTCTCATGAGGTTTTCCTGTGCTCCTGGTACAGGTTGCTAATAGCCAGGACAGGTCAGGTCTGATGGGCTCCTGCCTCCTTTCCTTGCAAGGGAAGATCTCTGTCTCCACTGCCTCCCAGAGACTCTGCGCTGCTGGCTGCAGCCGCTGGCACATCACAGTGGGACAGGGGCTCCGGCAAGGTGAGAGAGGTACCGGTGCCCGCTCCACACGTGTGAGGGAGACACCACGCTACCCTGCGGCATTTGGGTTCTGCAGTGCATCTGCCCCGTGTGGGTTTTTTCCTGGCTTTCTCACGGGAAGACATGATGTTGCAACAGCAGATCATGACCAAAACAGAATTACAGGATTGGGAGCAGAGCGTGTCAGTCTTATTTTAAGCATGGAAAGCCTGCGAAAGGGCAGTGTCAGGCTAATTGCATCAGCCTCACACAATGACCGACACTGGCTGTTGAGACTGTTTCCCCTTTCCCCTTCCTCAGCACCACACAGGAACTGAGCCGTGGCAGATAACGCACTCGTAGGGCTCTCTGTACTATAGCCCTCTCCATCCTCCGGCAGCACCACCACTGAAAGGATTGGCCGTGTATCTCTGTGCAAACATACCATGCAGGGCATGGCAAAGCCTGTGCTTCCCAGCTGCCTACCACTGCTTCGGTCCTTGCAGAGTCCCCTGGAGACCAATGCTCACAATTGGAACAACTGCACTGCACTGAGAAACCAGAAGCACAGAGATACCTCTAAAACCTGAAAGCAGGACCCGACAATGCAGAACTCCCCGGTAGGTGTCCTTCAGCCCCCGGGAAAGGAGTGCTGCTGGAGCCCAAACCTCTGATGAGAACTCAGATTTCAGGCCTGCCCAAATGCCACCAAACAGCAAAATACTGTCTTATGCAAGCCCCTACCTTCCCTGCTTAGAAGGGCCAAAAATGCTAAATCTGATGGCCACTCACTTAGAAGCAAGATTCTGGATTATTTTGCAGGCTTTTCCATGCTTTTTTTTTTTTTTTTTCTCTCAAACCTAAATTTTCACTGCAGCATTAATTTGCTCATTTAGAGTTTAAGCAATCGTTAGCATCTTTTTCTTTGAGGGGAGAAAGAGATTACATCTTGCTGAAATGTTAGCAGAATGCAGTGGTCCAGCCCTGCTTGTTGGAGCTGCTGATGGACTGTGACTGCTGTGCCCTACTATCATTAGCCAGACTCTTGTTCTAGGAAATGGGAAAGATTTGTGGATAACCATGTTGCTGTCCTCACGGATTGCTGTTCCAGTGCTGTATGATGGCTGGTAGTTTGTTGTGGTCCAGGTCCTGATAACTCATCTGTTCCATTTACTGGGAGCACTCAGGGAGTTGAGGTTTTGTTCAGACTAAAGAAAGGTGTCAGAAACCCATCATAAATATCATTATAACTTGACATGTAAACCAGATAATAATTTTTGTCCAAGGTAATACATACGCCTTCAGGTAATTAGAAAGTTGCTTGCTCATCTTTGGTTTGCACTATAAATATCTTGTTGTAAGGCGGATCTTAAATCATGGTAGCTGTCTCCTCTTACAATTTCCAGTATAGGTTTAGTGTTAATAATAGAGGACTCTGATCTATAACGGTAATAAATGAATATTTATTTATAGATATATTACTGTGAGATAGCTTTATTTTCACTTGCAAAATATATTTCCTTTTTTATTTTGTAGCAGTCAGCACAAACAACAAATATTACTTCATGATGACACGGATTGTGAAGTCAACAAATTTCCACTTTACAATATGAAAAAGGAATATTTAATTTTTTTAAATTTAGAACATGAATGGTGGGAGACCTCGGTTTGCTTCCTACAAGAAAAAAAAAAAATCACTTCATGCAGCTCTATACGTGGTAAGCTTGGCTATGTATAGGAATGCCAACTATAAAATCTTTAGCACAGCTGTTGTACTGGGTTTGGCACTGACAGGGAGTAAGCGAGCGGCTGTGTGGTGCTTAGCTGCTGGCTGGGGTGAGGCCACAGCAGCTGTTTAGTTTAATAGAGTGCTTTGTCTGTGATCCTTCCTTGATTTAAAACCTATAGGCTTGGGTAAGAAGGAAGCGCTCTGACATTCTTTGATTACAATACAGTAGCCAATGGCATCTCAACAGCAGTTAGTATTTGCTATACTGTGAGGCCACATGCACAAAAAAAAGCATTACTGTTTTGTGTTTCAGAGTAGACGACCTAATTGGAGCCCATTGTAAATTGGACAAGGTGCCCCTTGTTAACAAGAAGAAAACATGACTGGAGCTGCAAAAAAAGTAGGTTGTTTGCTTTCTGGATTCACAGGAGGTTAGCAGATTGGTATGAATCAACCTTCATCTTTTTTCAAAATAATAAAAATTGAGGATCCCAGAGCTAAAAGCGTTTTTGAAAGCCCTCTGCACTGTTTCTGAGAACAGAAATCTTTTTTCCTTGCTGAACACCATTTACCTGGACATGTCAGTGATGCCTGTCATGAAAATCAACGGCACACCATAAAGGAGAGTGGGCTAATGGGGACCCTAAGCCTCTTGCTCTCTGAGCATAGTTAATTGCAGCATATTTGCTGACAGCTACAAAGGTGACAACACTCTTGCATCTCCTTAAGGAACAGATGTTTTTTAAGATCAGGCACTATTTGTCTCTTGTATCTTTTCCTGTCTTTGAAAAGAGACTTTAAAAGGGAGAATGAGGGCAAAACGGTGTGCCATGATTAAGTCGGTCACAAACACACACGGCCCTTTTGCTCTGCTTGTAGTGAAATACCAGTAATGCCAGAGCACTAAATAATACATCAAAGAAGAAAATTGAGACATAAATGAACAACCGAATGACCTAAGTAGTTTCATCCATTTTTATGCCACAGTTGCGCACTGCAGCTTCCATCATGCTGGAGCCTCTGCCAAAGTATTGACACAAAGCAGATAGATCTAACGTTTGGATGGGGAGGACTTTCTGTGATGGGAATAGTTGTTTCCTATGTTGTTTGGCCAATGTCAAGCCAGTGGTTTCAGCATACAGTCTGCAGAAACTAGAAAGTGACTATTTGTCAGAGGAAGTATTTGTCAGGGTAACTATTTGTCAGAGGAAGTATTTGTAAGTTGTCACTAAGAAAGTTAATTGTCTGTAAGTTTAAATGAGCAGAACATGAGTTTGCAGTGCCTGGAAGAATGTTTTAGGGGTTTACAAGTCAGAAGACACTGAAAGTCAAGGACCACGAAACCAAGCTATCACATGCATTTTAAAAACTCTATAATGTTTCCCACACTGACTTTAAGTTATTGAAGTGACTATGTGGTAAAATGTTAGATGAGATTTCTATGCAGATAAACACAGAGTAGTCACGCCCTGGCACTGGCTCACCTCTCAGCCCAGATTTCTCTATGGGTCACTTCCTTCTGGTGCCCAAAGACCTCCCTTTGTGGCTTAAATGTTTTGAGCTGCTCTGTTGTCACTTCCCTGTGGGGTGGGAGGACATGTGGTGCATAGTCAGCAAGCACAGATATTATAGAGGAATTTGGTACCTGGAAAGCCAGACATTAAAACTCATGTCTGGTCCAGGATCCAGCTAGATCAAGGCTCTCTGTATAATTCATGGAAAGAGTTAGATTTCTCAAAATGAGGTACAGGAGAGATGTTGAACCCCCAGTGTGCACTGTCAAAGCTGCTGAAAGAGAAAAAAACCCAAATCCAAAGCAATGCTTCATCACACAGCGCAATGCCGAGAAGCCCTCAGCTGTGGGTCTGCCCTATCACTGCAGAAGGGCCTTACACACCCCACTCTCACCAAACCTCCCCTGAAAACCGTTTGTGGATGATGACGGAGGGATCAGGGCTGCATCTGCTTTGTGTTGCTCACTGCTGTTTTTTGGACATCAGCACTCCTGCAGAGTGAGACTGCGACAACTCGGACAGATGCAATCACCTCTCACCAGGCAGGACACCCATTGAAGATACCGAAGATTTGATCCCATTAAAGTACAACAACAAACCTGTCACCAGGGCATATGGTAGTCACGTGAGTGAGATCAGATCTTCATAGTTTTATACTTGATATACACAATGCTAAGGGTCTGTTCTGTGATCCACAACACTTGGGGTAGCTCAGTTTTTCCATGCAGTAGTGGCTTTATTTATACCCACAATGGTTTTAGTCTCAGAAATGCCAGGGCATTGCCACAAGCTAATACAAGTGTTATATGGCAGGAATGGGGCGATAGTCTCAGGCCACTGTCTGACTCCTGCAGTTTACTCCATGCACAGCAATAGCTGCATCCTGGTGATAGCTGCAAGCTTCAAAATTATATAGGTTGGCAGGAAACTACCACTGTACGGGCAAATTCTTTGATGTGAGCACCATCGATGTATTAGGTTTGGCATTGCAGTACAGGGGCTTTTTCTTGCTTTTAAGTGACCATATATATATATATCACAGTAGTAGAAGTGGATTTGTGTATTGATGTAAGTGTGGTCATTTTCCTATGTTTAGCTGCACGATATGTACAAATAAGCCCATGATGGAAACAATGGCCTTGTTGTTGATTCTCCATACTGTGTGGCTCTCCCTCTTGACCAGGAGACGCCTGAAGCTGCGGTACAGTGATCCAAGACAATAGTCAGAGCTTGTGTCAAGTCACTGAGGACAGACGGACAAAATTCAAGTTAATACCAGACCCATTGGAGGGGGTTGCCCCTTTTTGCAGATATGCCTATACCTACAACGATCGCAAATACTATAGGTGATCCCATTCTCTCTGCCTCGAAACCAGCAGCACGGTGGCTCTTAACACCTACAGTGCACTACACCTTGTTGATGTCATGACTTGATCTGTTGGTGGCTGTGACTCTTGACTTCTGTTCGTCTTAGACCTCATTGATATACAAGTAGGGAACAGAGAAGGAAATTCTTGAAATTCCTTGGCTGCAAAGTAATAGCAAAACGCATCCAAACAGCAGTTAGAATTTGCTAAGCATGCACAGATCTGAATAGACGCTCTAACTTCCGAGACCAGAGAACAAGCTCCAGCAACATCCACTGCAAACCGCAAGAGCACTGTGATGTAGAAAGGTGAAAAACATACAATGAACACAGACAAATTCACAGAAATAGTGTGGATTGCTTTCTGGATTAACTTTGTCTCGTAAGGGCTTGTGGCCATCTTCTTTTTGAGACATTTGATGACTTGTGTTGAGCAAAAAATCACAATCCCTAAGGGAATAACATACCCAAAGATAATGGAGAATAATGATGAATAATTAGGCTCAATAGATTGTTTCTGAAAGCAGAATTCTTCCTTTCTTTCATGAAATTTTGGACGCAAATAGGAAAAAATTATCAGCGTTATCCAAAGAAACCCACAGATAAAAGCTGATTTCAGTGGGGATCGAATAATCTTTGCTTCTAGAGGGAACTTGATGGCAATGTATCGATCAATCGCGATCAGGGTGATGATAAGGATGCTCATAGGCATGTTTGTAAAGTAAATGTTCTGTATGGTAAAACACAGCTTGTCTATGGGATGGTCATACTTGGTAAAATATATCAGGAAAGGCAGGGCAAAGAGCAGGAAACTGTCTGCAACCATGAGGTTGATCATGTACACCCTGGTCTCTGTCCATCTCTTGAGTTTGCCGCAGAAGACCCAGAAGGCAATCATGTTCAGTGGGATCCCCAAAGAGAGCACTGGGATGTAGACGATAAGTTGAAATAGCACAATGCCATCCTGCAGTGTGTCGTCGTCTTCAGTGCAGTTCTTCATGTTGGGCCGCCTCTGCAAGAAAAGGGAGCAGACATGAGACCAGGTGTGGGGACAGGTCCTCTGGGCTCGGTCCTGCTGCAGTGTCCCAGCTCTCATGGCTCTGCCTCTCCTCGCACCCCTGCCCTGCATATTTAGGAAGCCCCTGGAGGGGCCCAGTGGCTCATTTGCACCGTCTGTCCCTTGGCCGTCAAAGTAACACTATCACTCGCCACCAGCTAACACAAAAACACAGAGGCAACCTTCTCTTGCAGCTATTACAGAGTTAAACCTGCCTTGTTCTCCATCCAGTCCTGGTTTTCCCAGTTTGGGTAATAGCAAAGAGTCTGCAAAGCAGAATGATAATTTTTGTGGTCCCTTGTCTTTGCTGCCGCTTTGGTTATCAGAGAGCCATTGGCTTTAGGGCAGCCCAAAGCAGAGCATCCCCCCTTTGCCCTCCAAGGCCCTTGCTTCGCTGCTGAAGCCACTCCGTGGGTTTGCTCTGGGTCTTGCCAGGCCTGCGAACTTCCACAGAACTTGAGCCTTTCCAGCCGTGGGGTAGCTCAGGTGGCTTTACTCCTGGGGGAGGTGGGAACGCTGCTGCAGGCTGGTGGGTGGGTGCCTGCTGCGGGCAGGCTGTCCCTAAGCACGAACCCACTCCTCTTGCTGTGGGATGCTAGGGAGGAGGAACTCAGCACAAATACCAGCAGCCCTAGCAGATAACAGGTCTCCAAAGAGAGAACGGAAAGTGAGCAAGCATGTCTGATCTCAGTGTTCAAAGACAGGAAGCCAAAATGTTGCTAGGGCAGAAAACACAAATCCAAGAACTTAGACTATCTCTCGGTATTCCTTTAAATATTTCAATGTATCTACTACCAGCAAGGAGGCTGCGGAGGATGAATCAGACTTAGTCTGCAGCTCATAAAGGAAATGTTTACAGTGAGGTAGGAAGGGAAAACACCCAGATTCCTACAATCTCTTATAAATACATTGCCTTATAAGTCAGCAGCTTCTAAGCATCAACATCTAAACTGTAGTGAGAATGTCTGATTGCATGAACTAAGTGAACTGTTTTTAGTGTCCAAGACTGGGAGATAAATTTTGCAACCACAGAGCAAAGTGCAGCACCTGCCCTAGCACCAGAACTGGTATGGCATTCCTAAACCACAGGGATACAGTGATTTTTAGGGTAGAATTTATGGAGGAACTAATGTACAGTCAGTATCCTGGCTCTCTCGGGCTGTCAGCCTTACAGGTCCTTGGCTGCACTGTGGTACCACCCACCCTGCAGCCATTCCCTGCCAGCCTACAGCTGTCATCCCACAGTGAAAAAGCCACTCTCTGCATGCATAGCACTGCCCTGAGGAACAGCTGAGCCCTCCAGGCTGGACTGGGCATCCCAGCCCCATCGAATCCCTCACGTAAGCACAGAGCCAATGGCTGCTCCCAAGGTCCCATGCCGCAGCCTGCCTGGAGCTGGGCGACTCCACACTTGCAGAAGAGGCATGGTAAGAAGCACTGGTGTGAAACCACAGCGAGGGGTGAAGACCCCCCGAATGACACATGTGGCTGCAAAACAGTGAGGCATAACAGCTGTAAAAGCAGGAGGAAACTGAGGCATCTGTGTACAGCTGAGGATTGACCCGTGGCTAGCCGGCTAGAGCTTCACTTAAGAGGTCAAAAATTACACTCTGAAGTACTAAGCAGAGGAGGGGAAGAATTAAAAGACATTACCTGCTTCTTGTGGGACGTCAGGTGAGTTTAGTCCTCAGAAAGGCTACAGTGTAGATGCGGGCGTCCTGGCAGGGGAGATCTGTCAGGGCTGCAGATGCCAATGCAGGGTGCTGCTCCATGCAGGGCACAGCTGCCCAGGAGCCTGCTGTCGACAGCTCGGGAGCGCTGAAACACAGCAATGAACCCTTGTTCCCCAAAAGCGCTTCATTTAACACCTACTTTTTTGGGCGGTGGAGTCTCTAGTGCCCTCTGTTGTTCTACCCACATCAGCTCAATGCTTCACCATCATTTTTTCCACCCAGTCTGTGCTCTCCTTGCTCACCTCACACAAGCTAGCAATTAAAATTTAATATTTTCAGTCATGGGAAAACAAATAATTTCTGAAATAAAACCCATAATGGCTGCAAATTGCTCTTCTGGCAGCGAAATGTCCCCCAGGGAGCACAGCAGCCCGTGCAGAGCAGGTTGCAGAGCGTGCCCCAGGCAGGCAGCGGTGTGGGGGCCGATGGCCTTGCCAAGGGGGCACATCAGCTCTCATGCACCCCATGGCAGTGAGCCCAGTGCGAGGGGACCCAGCGTGCTTCTCTTGGGGTCTTTACAAGAAAGGTGACAGATGTTATGGGCCTGCTTGCCCTCTGCGAAGCAGCCAGGTGTCTAACACTGCTCGTCAGCATCACTGGAAAGCTCAAGCTGGTAATGACAGTCACTGCCAACCAGGCACGGGTGACGGATACCGGTGTGGCAGTGAGCAACCCATAGGTGTCAGGACCTTTAGAAATATGTTTAAGAACACGTCCCAGTGGTATTTTATAGTCATTTTGATGGCTTTTGCTGTCTGTTGCATGCCGCAGTTGCAGTCTCATCTATGTGAGCCAGCCGACAGCAGCCAGACTCCTTCAGGATTTGTCCCCTTAATTCATGTCTCCTGAGCTTGCAGTCCCAAAGGTGACAACAGCAGATTGAGCAGCAGCCGTGGGCTCCCTGAAGGCAGAGGTGGGGCGCAGGGGGAACTGCGTAAGTGGGCAGGGAAGACTCTTCTACACTCTCTCCTGGAGCCCTCTGAGCATTGCCTGGGCAGAGCTCGGAGGCCATTTTGGAGATTTTTCAGTATTTAGAAAGTAAAAAGCCCTGTCCTAGGGAGCATTTGAATAACATGCAGGGGGTCAACCCATTCCCTGTCTCCACTGACTTTTCTAGGCTGCTGACTCATGGACAAATGCATTTCCCCCATGGAAAGGTTAGGGGTGTCAATGTGGGCAGCTGCGGAAACCCAGATCCAGCTGTGTCCAGCTAGGGGGTGATACTGACCCTGAGTTGTGGCTGGGAGGGTGAACCTGGGGGCCAGCCCAGGGAACAGCAATGCACGGGTGGCAATGGTCTAGACAGAGTTAAAAGGGCTTCCCCACGGGTGGGAGCAGCAGCCCCTTGGGGATGGCTGCCCTAAGGAGGTGTCTCTGTGCCAGGGCTCAGCACGGCAGCAGGAGGAGAGCAGGCAGGAGGACTCAGCTCTGAAATCTCCTGGGCTTTGTGCCTTTATGGCACTGGATAAGTCTTGCTTTCACCCTAAAAGTGTTCCTTCAGCCCTATCTGACCCAGTGACTTGAAGGGGAAGGGCAGTCAGCAGAGTCTAGGATGTTTTGCAGGGCCATGTACTTAGTAATATGCTGGTACTGCCTGAACCCCCTGCCCCAGCCCGCCAAAGGAATATGTTAAAAATAAACTGGATTATTTGAATAATGCCAACAACCTGAAATACACAATGAGGTGAAACATGATGTATTCTTTTGTACCTGTTGGCAGTAAGGATCAATTGACTTTAGCTGCAAAAGGAACTAAAACAAGGAGACATAAATGGGTCACCTGTAAGAGTAACAAGCAGGTGCTGGAGGGTGGAATGGAGCCATGTTAACGACCAGTGATTACAGACACGCTTTTACACATCTCTGTGAAAAAACTTATATGTTTAATAGAAATGTAGAGTGTAAATTGCAATTAACTTGGTAATGCTAAACCTAACAAAGATCTCCCTAGAGAGAAAGAGCAATAGTTATCCCAATAATGCTGAAGCTGTATCTTCTCTTGATGTTACAAAGTTGTTGTGGGGTTTTTGGGTATGGTGGTCTTTGTTCCCCCTGTCCTCTATCTGGTGTCCCCCTCCGCCTTTTAGCAAGTGTGTGTCTGCACAGGGTGGCTTTGATCTGTTTTTTCAGTGCTGGGTTTGGGCAGCAGAAGTGCTTCATGGAACTCCTTGGTCACAAAGTAGTAGCAGATACTGTCGAGGCAGCAGTTAGACGTGGCAATACACCTTGTCACGGAGGAGAAGTTCTTCATAACCTGGAGCAGGAAACAGGTAGCTCCGACACTCTCCATTATGAACCTGGCAAGTATCCCAAGGTGGGCTGGCAGAAAACATATTAGAAATACAATCAGATTTGCATAAACAATGTGAACAGCTTTCTGGATTAATTTCTGCTCTGGTGAATTTGTGTTCAGATGTCTCTTAAGGTTCCTGATTACTTCTGTGGAGCAAAAAGTCAAGATTGCTAATGGAAGAGTAAAAACGAAGAAAATGGGAAGCAGGCTCAGAGCAGTGGGTGCGGTGGTATCCTTCTGAAAGCAGAGAGTGGCGTGTCTCTGCCAAAGCTGTAAGGTGACACCGATTATCACAGAGACCCACAGAAGCCCACAAAGAAGGGCAGCCTTTGATGGAGACCTGAAGGTCCTGGCTTTCAAGGGGTGCTTTATGGCAATGTATCGATCGATGGAGATAAATGAAATGATGTAAATGCTCACTACCATGTTGATCAAATACATTGCCTCTGTAAACTGGCAGAGTTCATCTCGGCTTGACTTATTCCAGAGCAAATAAGCCATGGAAGGCAAGGTGCAGATGACGAAGCAGTCCGCAAAGACTAAATTGATTACATACACCCTGGTTTCCGTCCACTTCTTTATCTTGAAGAAGAACACCCAGAGGGCAAGGGCATTAAATAGTGCTCCAAAAAAGAAAATGAGGTTATACAAAGCAAATTCAATGAGACGAACATGGTGATACAGTTCTAGATTTGTGACACTGCAGTTGTTGGACACGTTCATTGTCATGATGTGTAGATGTTGTATGATGTTCTGAGACCTGAAATGGGAAAAGACATGGTAAGACTTTCCTCCTACCTCTTAAAAGATGCATAGTTTCTACTAAAAGGGTGTTTAAATAGATATTTACTTTGTTATGAATGTGAATTTGAGTCTACAAAGCTGGCCTTCTCAGTCAGCCTGTAATTGGAATGCAT